GCATTCATTTCAATGTTATAATCTCACGTTACCCAAATTATCTCTCTAGGTTTCAGAATTTATATCATAATATATATAGTATTTTTGATATTTTTAAAAAGCGTAGTATTTCCAGAATTGTTATTCATATGGAACTTTTTCGACAAAGCAAGATATGTTAAATAGACAAGACACAGTTGGACTTAACTAGCCCACGACAAACAAACTTACAACTGGAGGCTTTATAGGCCTAAACACTTATTACACCGAAAAGCTTAAATTGCTTCTTGTATCTAGGGGATGTCAAGTTGATGGAAATAGGACTCATTCAAAACTAGTTTGCACAAACCGATTACCCAAGCCCAATACACAAATCACCCTAGAATTTAAATAAAATTAAAATCAAAAGTAAAAGTAAAAATAATATAAAAATGAGGTAGTAAATATGACAGAAGATTGCCTCCTCTCGTCCTGCCTTGCTCCACTCTGCCTTAAGCGGTGTCTGTGGTGGGAACGAGACGACAAAATCCTTGGCAGGGCGAGGACGAGGGCCTTTGCCATCCCAAGCTATATCCAATAAATGTTGGCAAAGTTCGTGTGGCTTCGAGATCATTGCCATGTGGTCAACATCTTTTATCTCTTTCACTATTGTTGCTCCAGAGATTTTGATTTGCCAACGTTGGAAATCTAATTTTAAGGTTTTATCCTCGTCGGGCATGATGTAAGCACGCTTAACAGATCCATACATTTCATTGGAAAATGCACTCTTCTTTGACAAATCATCCCAGAAATTAGAGATTGGCCTCATCAACCCTTTTGCTAACACCACATCCTACCATAATGGATTGAAAACATTTATTGTTTACTCAACGTATAGAAGTGTTTCACTTTGATTACTCAACTTTTCCTTTGTTGTAAATTAGTAATTAAACTTAGTTTCAGTATTTTTATTTCAGGCATTTAATGCACTGTTCTTATCGTCATGTTTGATAAAAAACAAAATTAAAAATCTTTCAGTTCACCTCAACATTTTTAAAATATTTTTTTATTTTATACCTCAGGAGGGCAGAGTTGATATAGTTTGGATGATATGAACTGGGGGCCAAAGAGCATTGATACAAGATGATCTTCGGGTCTACCATACGGTATGAATTGATTGTCCATAATTCCTTCCTTCGAGATTCCTTCAAACACCTGCGAAGCAAGTTAATGCAAGTAATTTAAGTAAAATATCTTCTATATATTAAAAGTGGCTATGTAACGGAATTTCTTGTTTTTAACGGAAAAACTAACGGAATTTGTTGTTTTAACGGATTATGTAACGGAAGTTCTTGTTTTAAATAGGCAGCTGCA